GCCTCCGGGTGAGCGGGTGTGGAGGGGGCGGCCAGGGTGCCCACGCCGAGTCCCCACGCGGAGCGGGGTACGCGCTTGCCCGGGGCGGCGCCTGGGTCGCGGCTTCGCCTAGGCTCGCAGCGCTGGATCGGCGGAGCCCGCTGGCCTGCTCGGTGGCGGCCGGCCCTGTGGCCCGAGGTCCGGGAGCCGGGAGTCCCGGAGCCGTCCCCCTCGGCGCCGCCTGCCGCCGCGCTGCGCCCCGGCCCTTCCCTTCCCTTCCACCGCTCGGCGGGTTCCTGCCACACAGGCGCGCGCTGGAATCTCCAAGGCGAGAGTGACACTCAGCTCCACGCGGGCCTGAGCTCCCCAGAGTCCCGCTGCCCGCCCACAGCGCTGTCGCTGTCGCGCTCTCGTCTGGGGGGGGACGGTGACACCGCGCCGCGCGGGCCCTCAATGCGCGGCCTCAGCTGCGAGTTCCTTCCTGGCGCCCAGCGCGCAGTCTCTCCGGGTAACCCTCTGTCTCCAGGGACCCGCCTTTCTGTGCTCCCTCAAAGGTGAGCACTTTTTTGGGGGGGACCCTTCCAATTGAAACAGTACCCCCCAACTTTCAGAAAAATTATCAGTATTTCCACCCCTAGAGCGGAACTGAAGAAGCAGGGAGCTTCCGCCAGCGTCCCCTGATCCACACTGTCTGCCCCTGATTCTTGACACTTGATTATGGCCTTCAGATCTACAAGCTACAGCCTGTCTTCTAACATTGTCGCGTTGCCCCAGGCTCAGGAAACGCCCTCGTGACTTTAGTGGGTTCCCCTGAACAGGCTGGTAGTTTCCTCATCTTCATAATGCATTGCCCCCCCCCCAGCTTTCCAATGAAACGTCCCCCAAATCAGACAGTAACCCACTCCCACACTTCCTGCCTGTGGCCTGGGACCCCATCACCCCCCCCACAGTTCACGATGTTTTCACATGTCTGCTGGTCCTATCTGCGTTCTCTGAATTTGAGACATTGACCCCTAGGGTTCCGGACAATTTCCCCGGGACCCTCGGGTTTGAGCACAGTTCTCTGTCCACACTTCAGTCAGGCTGCCAAAGGCCGCAGGCTTCCTGAATCATAAACATTAGGGTTTCGATTTCCTGTGCTCACAGTTCTCCGGGTTCCACAAAACTGAGAAAAGGGTCTCCAGCCTGCAAAGCCACCGAGCGCCAGTGGGTCATGGGGTGGGGGCACAGTGAGTGCCTTCTGGCCTTGGAATGACGTACTTGAAAGAGCAGAGGAGGCCTGGGGCCTTCCAGTCCACAGAGCCTCTTCCATGGGCCAAGCGCAGACGCAGACGGGGATTTTTCTAGGCCCCCTTGTCTCCCGGCCACTACTGTACAAGAGAAGGAGAAGTCACTGGCTTGTGCAGAGTCTGCTTTACTAATATGTAGCTAGTGCTCCTAGACCCCAGGCCACAGTGGGCCCTGATGGCTGGCCACCTTTGAGCGTGCTAGGCTCAAACCATAGCACTGCCCGCAGGGACTGAGCACAGGGCCCATGTTTTTCTCTAGGTGGCAAAAGTTATACAATTCCATGGCCCTTCTAAACAGCCTGTAGCCAGCCAAGTTCCAACACCATCTCCTGGGCCTCCAGCCTGTGGCTCTCAATACCTCAGATTTTCAATCTGTGGCCTCTGATTTTAGAAGATGACCCTTGAGTTCCCCAAAGACTCAGAGCAACTTTCTGAGACTAAAGAATTATTTTCTCCAGCTTCCAAATTAAGGTGGTGTTCTCCCACTTTCAAAATCAAAGAGAATCCCACTCAAAAAAGAACATTAAGGCTGGTTTTGAATATTGATTTATGAGCCTCTTGACTACATGACCCTTTTCCCAACTTCCCCTACATTTAGACAATGTTCTGTGGGTCCCTGATGGTCAGGGAACACTCTCTGAACCCCGAAAGTCCCATGAATTACAGGTCTGTGTCCTTGAAACGTCTAACTACTAACTAGGACGCCTAACCTTTAAGTCTATCTCTGCTGGACAGCTTCCTTGGAACCCCAGAATTCAGCTCCCCAAACACAGGTATTGTGCTGATGGACAGAGCAACTGTTTCCCCCTTTTTTTAAACAAACAGAAACAAGTTCAGATCAATTTTTAATTTAAAAGTTTTTCAAAGAACACTCATTTCTCCCCCACTCTCAAGTATCCCTAGCATAGCCCAGGTCCCTCCAAATCAGAGGAGTGCTTCTTGGATCACTAAAGGACATTGAGTGTCCCCCAAAGCCAAAGAGATGTGTATTTTGCTTGACGCAGGAGACTTTGTCTCTTATTTCACATTCTTGAAATGTGGGGGAAGGGAAGCTTGTTTCTCAGAATGTCAACGTTTTGCTTTGGTCCCTAAACGTGCCCACCTTCTCTTACTTTAGATAAACTGTCCCCCCAAATCTCATGGAAAAATTTCCTGGGGATTCTTACAATCCGCACCCCATAAATGAGGTTCCTCCTGGCACCCTGCGGCTGGTTGTCACCCTGCTCTGTTCTCATTTTGGTCTCAGATCTGTGTTCCCCACTATATGGAACAAGGTCCTTTGACACCCCCCCCCCGCAGACAGGGGCTCTGCCTTCCTAGGGTCTAGAATGAGACCCCTAATGGTGCTCCCACGCACGGACAGAGGGACAGAGTGGCTGGCTCCGGGACTTTCCTTCCCTTCATTGAAACCACAGCTCGGGACAGCATGGTCCCACCGCAGGCAGTGTCCTGGCCCCCCATCGGATAGGCGGCTTGTCTCTCCGGAGTCCACAGGCAGGAGACCCGGCAAAGCACTCCTTCAGACCTTCTAGAAGTCACAGGACGCCCTGCATTTAGGTAGTTTCTCTGAGCGCTCCCCACTCAAGATCTAGTCTGCGGCTGCCAGCACTTGGGCAGCGCTTCTCCGGTGGACAGGGAAGCAGCTGGGCATTGCCCCCAGTTTCCCCCAAATTTGGGCATTGTCCCTGGGTCTTCCAAGGGGCTGGGCGTTGCCCCGACATTGAGGACTGCCCTCAGGGTCCCCGCTCACCTTTAGCAGCGTCTGCTCGCTTGTCAGCTGCTTCGCCCACGCTTCTCTCCTCCTGCGCCCTCGACCAGCCTACAGCCTCGCGGTGAGCTTCTCTAGCCCTAGTCCCGGGTCATGGCGCTCCCCTCTAGGAGGCCATCGGGCCGTGGGGTGCAGGGCTTTGGTTGGCTGGTGTCTGGGCATCAAGTTGGCACCGTTTCGTTCTTTCTTTGCAAAGACCGAGGTTCCAAGGACAAGTCCTGCAGGGCCCGCGCGAGGCCAGGCGCCTTGGAAGGGCTGGGCGAGGACTCCGAGCGGCGGCGCGGCGAAGTGATTGATGGCGGGGCGGGGGTCGGTCGCAGCGCGGGCTTCCGCTGGCAGCCGCCGCTTCCCCTCTGCGGGACCCGCGGGCTTGAGCCGGTGGGCGGGTGGGGGGGCTTGTGTGTGGTTTTGACACGGTAAAAAGAACGACGCCTTTTCACACCGTTTAAGCTCTATGGGAGAAGGCTTCCCCAGACACCAGGTTCTGGGGTGTCCCCTGGGACGAAGGCTGCACCCCATAAGTGCAGAGAACTCAGAAGCGCGCATACTTGCGGTCTGGGGTGGTCCCTAAGGCGAGCTGCTTAGCCGCGCGTAATGAGCTCCGCGTGCAGCTGGGACCGGAGCGTCTTTCCTGCCTCTTCTCTCAGCCTATGCGGCGTCTCCCCAGGACATAGGGCCCTCGGCGGCCCGGGTTCTGGCCCGCGGGACCGTGCGCCCCGCTCCCCGCACCTGGCGGCCGCCCTCACCGCTCGCGTTGGCCAGGGGCTCCTGCGCGGCACGGGGTGTGGGGGCGCTCGGCTCCTGCTGCGGCTCCAGGAGCGGAGGCAGGTGGCGGCTGTGCGCACTGCGGGACCCTTGGCAGGGCGGCCGCGGGAGCTCGCGCCCACCACCTGTGCCCTGATTAATGCACGACCGGCGCCCCTCGCTGCGCGGCCTGCACGCTGGGCGCCGGGACTTGGGCGCTTTCGGCTTCTGCTTCCTCCATACACCCTGGGCCTTCACGAAGGGGCGACCAGACACCCCGGAAACACCAGAGGCCCCCAAATATGTTAAAACAGCATTTTTGGTTTCTCTCGCTCTGGACCGCTCCCTGCCCCCCCTCCAGGGCTCGCACCCCACCGCCCCCCTCCGGGGGCCCCCGCCCCCAACCCTCGCCCCCCCACGGGCTCGAGTTGCGGGGGCGGGCCGGGGGCGGAGCGAGGGCCCCGCGGGCGCCCATTGGCGCGGGCGCTTGGCCAGCGGGGTGGCGCGGCTATAAGAGCTGGGCGCGGGCGCCCGAAGTTCGCCTGCTCTCGGCGGAGCTGCGTGAGGCCAGGCGGCCGGCCCCCCCCTTCCGGCCGCGCCCGCCGGCCCCTCGGCCACGCTTGGCCCGCCAGCGCCTCCATCCGGGCTGGCGGCCCCCCGACGCCGTCCGTCACCGCTGCTGATTCCCGTCCGGGCGCCGTCGGCGGGGCGCGCTCCGCCGCCTGCGGATCCCCAGCCGCCTCCTCCTCCATCTACCTCAGCTTCGCCCCGCTTCGCGGAGGAGGCGGTCCCCCCCGCAGGCAGTCCGGCCCGCAGGCCGCCGGCGTTGTCACCCCCCCGCTCCCCACCCTGCCCTCCCCGCGCGCCCCCGCCGCCCACCGCGTCCCCAGCGGCTCGCGCGCTGCCCCTGCTCCCCCGGCCCGGGCTTGCGACGGCCGAGGGCTCCGTCGGCCCAAACCGAGCTGGGCGCCCAGGGCCGGCCTCACTCCACCCGCTCGTTCCTCCCCGTCCCCGACGTGGCGCCGAGAGCCTCCACCGCGCGCCCCTCGCCACCGGCCCGCGCGCCCCTCGCCGCCGCCTCCACGGCCCCCGCCCCGCTCCCGTCCGCCCGGCGCCGCCGGGCTCCGTTTCCTTTCGTCTCTGAGCCGTCCTCCCCCCTGTGGCCTGCCCGCCTCTCGCTGTCCTCTCTCCCTCTCGCCCCGCTCTTCGCCCCCCCCCCTCACGTTCACTCTGTCTCTCTCTCTGTCTCTGCCCCCTTCTGTCCTTGATACAACAGCTGACCTCATTTCCCGATACCTTTTTCCCCCCGAAAAGTACAACATCTGGCCCCCTCCGGCCCCAGACAGCCCGCCCCCCCTCGACAAGCAGAAGAGTCCCCCCCCCACCAAGCCAGACCCCGTTCTGTCCCGTCGCACATTGGGCCCGCGACCGAGGCCAGAGCGGCCCAGGCACAGGAGTGCCCGGCAGGAGGGCCTTCGCCCGCTGTTCGGTTCGCTACACGCAGCAGGGAGCTGGGCAGCAGCTCTGTCGGCTTCCAGGTAAGCTCGGGGCGCGGTGGGGCCCCCTGTGTGAGCCCCGCGTGGCCTGCGGGCGTCCCCGATGGCGGGGTCCGGGGAGGGGGTGGGGAAGTGTCAGGAGACGTGGGGGGCTGTGTGGGAGACTTCCTGGTCGGTTAGTGGGTCCTTCGGGGCTATGTGCGGGGCGCGGGCGGCCCTATTTCCCGGGGTGCTAGGCGTGGCGCGGGGCGCTCTGTGCGGGGAGCCCACTAGGGGTCTTTGACTCAGGGCCTGAGGGCTGCAGAGAGGTGGGGGGCGGGGCTAGCATGGACGGGGGGCCTGCGAGAGACCAAGACTCGCTGGACGCCTCCTTGGCGAGCCCCCCCATCCCTCACTCCACGGGCTGGAATCTGGGGAGGGGGCGGGCCTTGGCGCAGATAGGTCGGGACTGCCGCGCGGGGGGCGGGGGGCTGCCCTGGCTCGGCGGGCGCCCGAAAGCTTCCTTGCAAAGCGGCGGGGCGGCCCCGCCCCCTGCTCTTTGCCCTGTGGGGAGAGGGGCTGGCCAGGACGCCCCCCTCGCCGTGGAGCGGCGCTGGGCGATGGCCCCGGGCTGGCCTTGGGGGCGCTGGAGGAACGGGACTGGCTGCGGGAGGGAGGGGGCGGGCGGGGGCGTGTCCAGGGGCGTGGCCAGGGGCAGGGTGGAGCCGGGGCTGGGCGGAGCCGGCTCGGACATAAAAGCGCTGGCCAGGCGCGGCCCTCCAGCTGGGCGCTCGCTTCTCCGAGAGCTCCGGCCGCGCTCCGCGCCTCGCCAGCCCCGCCTCGCCAGCCCCGCCTCTCCAGCCCCGGAGCCTTCTGTCCGCAGCAGGTAACTCACTGGGCTGGGGACCAAGGCCGCGGGGCGTCCGCCCCCGCCCGCCCGGCCGCTGGAGGCCACGGGGCCCAGAGGCCCGGCTCCGCTCCGCCTGCTGCCTCCCCATCCCCTCTCGGCCTCTCCCCCTGCTCTGTCCCTCCACCCTTGCGCCCCACCTCCCGCTGGCCTCCCCTCCTGCGCCCCCGCTTCCCACCTTTGCATGGGTTCCCACCTGTCCCTGTGGTCCAGCCTTCAATCAGGCCCGGAGGCCTCCCAAGCTGACCAAGTTTGTTCTTAGAATGTGCAGGGGCGGCACTGGGGGTCTAGGCGGGTGAGCGAGCGGTTTGGGGTCCCCAGGTCTCCTGTGGAGAGGCCTCTGCTGTCTGGGGGAGACTGAGGGGTGCCCTACTGGCATTTCAATGACTGATGGAGTCCAGGAATTCTCGGGGGGGGGGCGGGCAATGGCGCAACGGGGAAGGGGCGGTGCTGCGCGTCCACGTGCCTTGCTTACCTCTGTTGGAGGGGCCCGGGGCTGAGGCCCCCCCCTCCCTGGACACCCCTCCCCCGCTGAATTCTCTGGTTCCTTGCCCGCCCCTCCGGGGGCTCCCTCCTCCTGGAGGGGAAGGGGCCCCGCTCCCGGGTCAGAGAGAGCTCCCGCCTAAACAGGGCTGCGCAGGCGGCGGGGGTGTGTCCTCAGAGCGCCCTGCTCCCAGGTCCCCGTCCCTCCAGCCCCCAAGTGGTGCTGGATCGGGTCCTGAGGGTGGAGCTTGAGACAGAAAGCGGGGCCTGGTGTCCATAAAGTGTTGGTGACGGGACGTTACCTGGATCGAGTGCTGCCTTCTTGGGGTTCTCTTTGCAGAGAAAAGCTCTGGCTTTTTCATGTGTTTTGGGGAGGTTGGAGTTGGGGAGAACAGGGACCCCGGGAATGTGTTTGCGCTGTGACACTAACAACTACTGGACTCTTGACGGGAGGGAGAGGGGGGACAGGGTGGGGCCAGCTCAGGGGCATCTGGTCCACCTGGACCCCTCTGCTCAGAGAGGGGTGTGGTGAGAAGGAAAGGACGGCCCCCCTGGACTCCCTGCTCCTGGATGGCCAGGCCCGGCAGGGGGCCATGTACGCCTGATGCCATGCACGGGTGGTCACTGCAGTGAGGGGGGTGGGGCGGACACCCCGCTCCTCAGCCCAGCTTTGAACCTGCCCTGGCTGTGCGCTCCGCTGAGGAAGTGGGGTGGGGAGGGCGGCCGCTCACCGCGCTCTCCCCGCAGCCACCGATGGGGATCCCGGTGCGGAAGCCGGCCTTGTGGCTGTTCACCTTCTTGGCCTTGGCCTCGTGCTGCATTGCTGCTTACCGCCCCAGTGAGACTCTCTGTGGTGGCGAGCTGGTGGACACCCTCCAGTTCGTCTGTGGGGACCGCGGCTTCTACTTCAGTAAGTGGCCGGGGCTGCGGGGGTGGGGCGAGCACTCTGACCGACCCCTCTGAGGTGGCAGGACCCCAGCCGAGCACCTGCTGTCCAAGTCCACCCTCTGACACCCGAGGGGTTGGTGTGTGGGGTCTCTCCCCGGGAGCCAGGGTAGCTGGGGGTGGGCAGTGTGCGCTGCCCAGCCGCATGGTTGGAGTGCCCACCAGCCCACCTACGTGGAGGTGAGGCTGTCCTAGACCCGCTTCATCACTGCTGGGACAGCTCAGCACCGTCTCACCGAGAAACCTCGGGGACGTTGTCAGGGTGGTTAGACTGATGTCAGGTACCTGAAAGCCAGCTCCATTGCCGCTGATGCCCATCAGAGCTGTGCTGGCCACAGGGTGCAGAGGGAGACCACAGCCCCGCTGCGTGGACCCTGCCCTGGACAGGTGGGAGGCGGCGCCTGAGAGAGGTGGAGGAAGCTGCTCAGGGAAGGGGCAGGCCAAGTGGGGGTCATGGCCCCGCCCCTAGGGGGAAGGATGGGCGGGGCTGGTTGGGCAGGCGGGCTGAAGGCCTCAGTCTCCCCCCTGTGCAACGGGCCTGCCTGTCTTTGAAGCTGCCCCCCGCCCCGCAACCCTACCTCTGAGAGCGCTACTCTCCCCCCCTCTCACTGAGGGGCCTGCAGGGTCCTCCTCCCCTCCCCCACTCAAGGCGCCTGTCCCCTGGGCACCCCAGCGGAGCCTGGGACCCTGTCGTGGGGGAAGGGGAGAGGATGGGAGGAAAGAAGGGCGTGGTCTCATCGAAACTCCTCACTCCTCTCCTCCCGTCATCTTCTCTCCCACCCATCCCTGCCCGTCTGTGCCTCGCCAGGGGCCAGGCCAGACCGAATTCTGGGTGGACGCTGGTCTCAGGGCCTGGGGCCCGGGGTGCCAGAGTGGGACCCTTTGCTGGGCAGCCCCTGAACTGGGCCCACCCCCACTCTCCTTGTAGGACTGTGAGCTGGGGCCCAAGGCTGGCCCATTTAAAACCCAGGCCATGGTGCCAGGGCGGCAGGCTAGGGCTGGGTACACCCCAGCTTTGTGGCAGGCTTCTGCATCCCATTAATCTCCTGTCTGCTCTCGGGTACTCCTACTTGCCCTGCCCTCCTCCCTCCCCTATACTACATCCCTCAGCGCATGACCAGTGTCCTCCCCTCCCGCCCCCGGGGCACCTGCAGGCAGGCCCATGACCAGATACAACCGTCGCCCCCGTGGCATTGTGGAGGAGTGCTGCTTCCAGAGATGCAGCCTGGCTCTGCTGGAGACCTACTGCTCAGTCCCCGCCAAGTCCACGAGAGACGTGGCAGCCTCTCTGGCCAGCCTCTCGGTAAGGGGGGCTGTGTGTGTGTGGGACACCCCTATCTGGGCCAGGAGTGGGGAGCAGTCAGCCTTCTAGTTAAGCCCCTCTGGGGGGGGTGTCTTCCCCATGAGGCTGGAGGCACCTAGGACAGGGCAGGGCAGGGCAGGGGTGGTTTCAGAACGTGGAGTCCTCAGGATGTGCCCCTGACACACCCCTCCCCTCTCAGGACAAACCCAATCACGCTGTGGGTCAGGGTCCCCAAGAGGGCTGGAGGCCGGCCAGCCAGTGGCTTCGCAGGGGTCTGCCGGGTACCCTGATGGGCCCAGGGAAGATACTCAGCCGGGATTTCAAGAATATCCTCCAAGTGACTAGCCAGTCACACCTCGTGGCTGTGCCCGCTGTCCGGGCCATGCCCGTCGTGCCTGCTGCCCCCGCTGCACCAGCCATGCCAGCCCAGAAACCTGCCCACGCGGACCCAACACCTCAGACAGAAGAGAATTAGAAGTGAGCCAAGAGATGGTAGTTCTGCGGCCACACCACCGCCTTCTGCCTCTTCCTGCCCAGGGACCTGCCCACCAAGGCCCCACCCCCAGACTTCCTGGGCCACCTGCCTCCCCGGGCTCTCTGAACCCCAGCCTCCTGCCCCAGCCTCCTCCAGTCGGGCTGTCTCCCTCGGCCCCTCCACCGGCCGAGCAGTAACCTCTTTAAAGATGTCAGAACAATTGGCTATAAACACCCCCACACCCCAGATAGTACCCCAAAAGACAAACATGCATCAGAACATTAGAGTATGATACAACCCCAACTCTGAGCCCCCCAAAATTCATGGGCTCTCTAGTAACTCCAGACAATTGGCTTACAAAAATCAATCTAAACCCCCAATTGGCTGGAAAACTTTAAAAATGACTAATTGGCTTAAAAACAACATAAAGAAAAATGATTTGGCACCCCTGCCCCTTCATCCTCTTCTCTCTGGAGACCTCAGGTCAAGATTGGCTGTTGGCTTTGAGCCCCCAGGCCCAGAAGAGGGAAGAAGAGGCTGAAAATTAGACTCGCCCACTTTGCAGCACCTGCCTCCTCGTCTCCTGCAAAATCTTCAATTGGGTGCTCTAAATTCTGATTGGCTATGATGACACCAGTACCCCAAACTCACTCTTCCATCATGAGAAAAAGGACCCGGAATTAGTTTGAGAGACCCAGTGAGACCGAGGGAGGGAAGCCTGGGCCGTGAAAACCCAAATGAGTAGAAATGACGTTTAATTGGCAGACGCAGAACAACACTACATTCATCCTCGGTGAAACGGATACAGCTCCAAACTTTGACGTCAACCCTCACCCAAGAAGACACGCACGCATCCTGACACATGACCCACACAACGTACACACACTGTGCACATGCCTCACGCACATCGACTCACATGAGCACACACTCACCATGCACAGGCCACACACACAGCCACACACACACCATGCACATGCCTCACACACAAACACACCCCGCCTCACATGAGCAAACCATCATGCACACACCACACACACAGCCTCACATACACCATGCACACGCCTCACACACAAACACACCCCGCCTCACGTGAACAAATCACCATGCACATGCCACACACACAGCCTCACATACACCATGCACACGCCTCACACACACACAGAGCCTCATGCCACACACACGCACACACTGCCTCACGCGAGCACACTCACCATGCACATGCCACACACACACAGCCTCACACACCGCCTCCCGCGAGCACATACTCGCTATTGCACACGCCACACACACACAGCCTCACATACACCACGCCTCACACACATACACACACACAGAGCCTCACACCTCACGCACACCGCCTAATGCTAGCACACCATGTACACGCCTCACACACACGGCCTCACACCTCACACACACCGCCTCATGCAAGCACGCCTCTCTCTCTCTCTCTCTCTCACACACACACACACGCAGCCTCATGCGAGCACACACCATGCACACGCCTCACATACACACAGCCTCATGCAAGCACACCCTACACACGCAGGAGGGAAGAGCTCTAAGAGGCCCCGGTGCAAGCCCAGCCTCTCCAAGCTGATTGACAGTACAGTTTTCACGTCTCCGGCCCTCTCTTCTCCAGGTCCCCCCCCCGCTCCCTGGCTCCTTGGGGTCCTTGCTGTGGGAGGGACAGCTCTGCTTCCATCTTGTCCCCAAGAGGAGCCCTGTCCTTTTGGGGGTGTCCCCTGTGGTCTGGTTGGAGCCTCTGTGCCCCCAGCCCCCTGCAGTGTTCGAGGAGGCGGCTTGGAGAGGAGCAAGTGAGTTGGGAGGACGGAGATGATGGACATGTGCCTGCAGAGTGTGTCCCCAGCAGCCCGACGCGCTAGTGTGTTCCAGGGGGAAAAGAACACCTTGGATCCCCACCCCCTTGGGCACAGCTAGTGGTCATCACACCGGTCCCTGGGCCCCTGGGATCTGGCTGTGGTGGCGGGGAGAGCGGGAAGAATGGTGGTCGGGGGGGGGGGGGGGGGGCAGGGGGGGCTGGGTGGGAGCTCCGGGATCGGAGGTTGTCCAGGACAAGTCTGGGTGGAAAGTCAGGAGGACGGAAGGATTGGCAGAACTACGGACTGAATTGGGACCCAAATTTAAGTCAATTGCTCTATCTCCCCTCTGATTGGCATCTCCTGGGGCCTCTTTCCTTTTTTTTTTTTCTTTTTTTTTTTTTTTTTTTTACCTGTCCTTAGCTTTTTTGCGCTCTTAACCCATCCCTGGAACAGGGGAGCAGGGACCAAGGAACAGTGCCAAGCCAGCGTGTACCACCCTGCGGGCCCCGCCCGCCTCCCTGCACCCCGCCATTTAGTCACCTTTTTTTTTTACTCTGTCCCTGTAGCTTGGGGTGCAGTTGGGAGTGGAGCCCCTGCAGCTGGGCCACTCCGTCTGCAGGGAAGTGTAGGGGAATCGAGAGGGCTGCTCCCTGGCCTAACTTCTGGGGATGGTGGCTGCTCCCCTGAAATCCTGAGGGCAGGGAGAGGTGGCAGGGCGTGTCCCCCGGTGTCTGGAAGGTGCTCGGTGGTCACCATGAGGGGCTTCCGGCTGGCCTGGCCACCGGGGGGGAAGGGGCCACAATGTGCATGTGAAGGTCCCCATCTGGCGAGAGCAGGTGACCGCCTTCTGGGCACTTGGGGGGCCCGTCCCCCACCTCTTGGGACACCTTACCTGCCTCTCAGCGCCCTGCCAGGCCTTCAGGAATCCCAGAGCTCTGCGGGGACTCCTGGGGTTCTGGTGGGGTGAGGCTGGGGAGTTGGGTGGTCAGGAGGGCATAAGCCCGCAGAGCAGAGAGAGCTGCCAGGTCTGCCCACCGACCGGCGTCGCTGGGGCCCCAGGCCTTGGGTCTGGCATCGCTGTGGCCACCACGGTGCCCAGGGCTGGGGCAGGGACTCGGGCGGCTGGGGGATCTACCTCACCCCCGCCTCCACCCCCAGTGCAGCCCCCCTGCACAGCAGCCCACTAGAAATCTAGAGGTCTTTGGCTCTGGGGTCCCAGCGACAGGACTGGCATGGCCGTGGGGGCGGTCCATGACAGGCCACCCACAGCACAGAGGGTTGGCTCGCCAGCATCCACAGAAGGGGACATTCGGAACATTGAGGACTCCTAAAATGCTAAATTGTCACAATTGGACTCAGAAGACTTTGAGGCACCCCAAATTATCACCCTTTCAGCCGGACGTCCAGCTCCACAGTGTTAACCCTGCCTCACTGGACTGGGGCCTCCGGGGGTGCTGGCCGCTACTCCTCTGTGTCTCCCCCATGCAGCTCTCCCAGGTGGTCAGTCTCTGGCCACGGCCACCCCCCTGACCCCGTGCCCATGGTAGTGGCTTCCATCTCCTCTCTTCCCCACACCCCTCCCCCACGTCTTCAGCGGGCCCCCCTTTGGGCCCTCCCTCTGCCATTGCTGAAGACTCCCACGTGCTGGACACAAATGTCATCATGCCTGCTATCTGTCCATCCTGCAGCAGCCTCGTGTCCGCCCCAACTGGACCCCCTAACATGCAGACATTTCTGGCAAAATCCACTGCCTGGATTTTGTTTCTAACTTTCATGCTCGCAAATCCCAATAAAATACTCAAAATCATCCTGTCTGAGTCCTCTGCTCTGTGACTTGGTTGCTGGGTGTTGGGGGTAGCGTCCGAGAGGGGGTCAGAGGCAGGGTGGGGTAGGGGAGGGGGCAGGTGTGAAGGCTCTGTGCCTTGGGGACACTCAGTGGGGCATTGCCAAAGGGAGTCTTGTGTTCTCAGCCCTCTAAGATGGGCCCTGGTGTGGGGCACAGGGGGTCTCCCAGAGAAAGAATCCAGTTTCAGGGCAATTCCATCATTGCACACCCTAAGGGCACCACAAACTCAGAGGGGTCTGGAAGGTTTGCTGAGAAAGGGCCCCCTAGGCTGGTGTAACCTGCCTACATCCACAAATCCACTGGTCCTCCCATGAGAGAGGCTGCACCTGGACACCTCTGTCCCCTGGAGCTGGGTGCTGGCATGGACAGGCCCCATTCTGCTCCGACCTGCCCAGCCACTCTGACCTCTGACCTCAGGGTTTCTGCACCAAGAGAAAGTGGGGGGCTGGCACTGAAGGTGCTGGAGGCCCCTTTTAGCCTTCTGCTCCTCTGCTAACCACCAAGGCCTTTGGACAGCCTGGCAGGGTGGTCAGCTCATCTGCCTGGCTATGCACCTGGGGAGAAGGGACACGGGAACTGAGAAAGAAGGATTTGGTGGCCCACCAATGTGGGCTGCAAAGAGACCCTCACACCTGACATTTCCTGAGTGGTTGTTTTCAAACCTTCAAACATCTACTGGCTACCCACTCTCTCTGAGGGGGGTGGTGTCCCCCCACTCCTGCTGCCCTGGCACTGCCCCAACCAAGGGGCTACCTGGAGGAGCAGGGCCACCGTGGGTGGGCCAGGGTAGATGGGATGCTGGAGGGGAAGCTAGTGGCCTGAGCAGTGTTGCATGGACAAAGCCGGGACAGGGACACCTCCGGGGTGGGCTGGGGGCCTGACTAGGAGACCACTGGGCTCAGTGTTCAGCACTGCCACCCTATTAGGGGCTCCTCTGTTTGTGGACCCTGGGGCCTCACCTTCCTCCCCAGAGCAGGACCAGAGGGCCCAGGTCCTGAGCCCTTTATGCTCTGTCCAGCAGCTCTGACCACGCGGCCGCTTTTAGCCCTGTCTGGGCCTTGCTGCTCCGAGACCTCGTGACCTCTCTTGTTCTGTCGGTGGCACTGGGCCCACTTCTCTGCTTTTCAGCTCTCCTGTCTCTCCCCAGCCCCTCAGTGCTGCCCCGCAACCACATTTGGACCCGTGCGCCCCCACCCCCAGTCTTGACTCTCCTCACTCAGCTCTGCGAACTCTTCCTCTCAGGCTCCGTCCCTCATTCATTCAGCCCTTCATTTAACATACGTGGGCACCTCTTGCAGGAGCATGGGGGCTGGGAGACAGCCTGGTGTTCTGGA